CACCCTGGGGCAGTGCGGTGGGTTGACCCTGGCTGGACGCCATCGGTGCCCCCCCTCAGGTGGACAGGGGAGAGGAACAGAACGAAAGGCTGGCGGGTCGAGGTGAGGACGGGGAGAGCACTTGGCAATGACCGTCAGACTTGGGGAAATTAGCTTAATTCATTTCCAGTCAAATCAGAGTAGGATAATGACCAATAAACCCAAATCTTAAAAACACCTTCCCCCCACCCCTCCCTTCTTCCTGGGCTCAACTTCACTCCCGATTTTCTCTACCTCCTCCCCCGCAGCAGCACACGGGGACAGGGAATGGGGGCTGCGGCCAGTTCGTCACATGTTGTTTGTGCCGCTCCTTCCTCCTCACGGGGAGGACTCCTCGCTCTTCCCCTGCTCCAGCATGGGGGCCCTCCCATGGGAGACCGTCCTTCACAAACTTCTCCAACATGAGTCCTTCCCACGGGCTGCACTTCTTCACGAACTGCTCCAGCGTGGATCCCCCACAGGGTCACAAGTCCTGCCAGCAAACCTGCTCCAGCATGAGCTCCTCTCTCCATGGGTCCACAGGTCCTGCCAGGAGCCTGCTCCAGCATGGGCTTCCCACGGGGTCACAGCCTCCTTCAGGCATCCCCCTGCTCCGGCGTGGGGTCCTCCACAGGCTGCAGGTGGAGATTTGCTCCACCCTGGGCCCCCATGGGCTGCAGGAGGACAACCTGCCTCACCATGGTCTTCCCCACAGGCTGCAGGGGAATCTCTGCTCTGGCGCCTGGAGCACCTCCTCCCCCTCCTTCTTCACTGACCTTGGTGTCTGCAGGGCTGTTTCTCTTACATGTTCTCACTCTTCTCTCACAGCTGCCGTTTTCTGTTGTGCAGTTTTTTCCCCCCTTCTTGAATCTGTTATCACAGAGGCACTGCCGCCGTCGCTGATGGGCTCGGCCTTGGCTGGCGGTGGGTCTGTCTTGGAGCCGGCTGGCATTGGCTTTATCAGACGTGGGAGAAGCTTCTAGCAGCTTCTCACAGAAGCCATCCCTCTAGCCCCTCTGCTACCAAAATCTCGCCATGAAAACCTAATACAGGCAGGGACAGGGAGGACCAAAGAAAGGGAAATTTCTGTTTTGGGGACATGCATTCAACTTTATTCCATACCCACAGCACGAGACCCTCTGACATATAGCAATGGGGAGACCCAGGAAGGACACCACCGGCACGTCATCCCCTCGGCCAGCCACAGCTGCCTCCAAAACTGCCCCTGCTGCACCACCGCCACCTTCCACCTCAGCCACCCGGGCCAAGGCTGCGGCTGCGGGCAGCCGATCCAGGAGTGCTCCGGCTGCCAGGGCTGCCAGCCCCAGCCAGAGGCGGGGGGCAAAGCCAGAGTCCTCTCAGCAGAGACCCGCAGCATCTTGTGGAGCCCGAGGAGATGCTGGGGACCAGCACAGAGCATCCACCAGGAGTTGCTCTGCAACCCAGAAGAAGCCGCCTGATGCCAAAGGAGCCACCGGTCTGGCCAGACCTGACTCACGTCCACAGAAGCAGCAGCCTGGGGCTGAGTCGAGAAGGGCCTGGGGCCAGTTCCTGCTCCCCTTGGAGAGTCAGGACATCCCGCAGGTGGAGAAGGAGACCCGGGGCCAGCGGAGTAACCCCAAGTGGTACGAGTGGCGGGAGAACCGCATCACCGCCTCCGTGGCCCCCAGGATTGCCAACAGCAAGTTTGCCAATGGCAAGACGGACGAGGTGCCCCAGTCCTACCTGAAAGCGGTGGTGAGCTCCAGCCCCGGGGTGCAGACGCCGGCCATGTCCTGGGGGCTCCGCAATGAGAAAGCGGCCGTGCGGGCCTACGAGCAGCTGAAGTCGCAGGCGGTGGGCAAGCCGGTGCGGGTGGATGACTGTGGCCTCTTCATTCATCAGGAGAAGAATTGGATCGCCGCCAGCCCGGACGGTATCATCAAGGAGGCGGCCACAGGGAAGGCCCTGGGGCTGCTGGAGGTGAAGTGTCCCTACAAGCACAGGAACAGGACGGTGCGTGAGGCCTGCAAGGACAAGGACTTCTGCCTGGAGGTGGATGGGGACTCCTACGCCCTGAAGAAGGATCATGCCTACTTCACCCAAGTCCAGTGCCAGCTGGCAGCTGCCGGCTTCCAGCAGGCTGACTTTGTGGTGCACACCACCAAGGAGACGGCCGTGGTTCCTGTGGAGTTCGATGCCAAGTTCTGGGGGCAGACGGTGCCCAAGCTGGAGAAGTTTTACACCGAGGCGGTGATTCCCCACCTGCAGGAGAAGGCAGGTGGCTCTGTCTGGGCCAAGGAGGAGTAGCCCCCCCCCATTGCCCCACCTGCCTGGATGCTTGCTTGGCCACACAAACCCAGCTTTGGCCCCTAGCATAGAAATTACGCCCAGTTTTGCTGCTGTTCTTGGACCGTTCCCTGCCTCTGCCCCAACGCAACTGCCTCAGGACTGAAACGTTGTACCAGCAGGACCCTGCTTTGGTAAGGGTCCCCACAATCGGTGACTTCTTCCTGCCCCAGCCAGGCCAGTGCTTGGCTCCCAGTGCCTTCTTCTGCCCTGTCCCCTTCACTGCATCCCCCATTTGACCCAACAGCACTGCCTGATGGAAGCTGGCACCCCTCTGGATCTGCAGGGGAAGCCAGTGATACCTCTGTGCTGGGATAACAGACTTACTTTATGGAGAAAACTGGATCCTTTGGCACCTCAACTGCTGTCTAGACTAAATCGTAACTCCACTCTGGAGAAGAGACAGAGCCAGGGAAGGTTTGTCAGAGCCCAAGAGCAAAACACAGCTTTTGAGCTAAAGAGTGATGTGCCTTAAGAGTCACAGCAAGGGCACGGGCCACCCTTTCTCCCCAAGCCATCAGACCTGCTGCTTCCATGGAGTTAACCCGTGATGCTCACAATGAGTTGGCTGCAGCCTCAGGAAGACGGTGCCCATCAAAGAGGTTGTCCCCCAGCCCATGCATCTCCAGAGGACCTTCCTGTGGAACATCCCCATGCACCACAGCAGGCTGGGGGACAGTCATTGCTCTATTAAACACAAGATGCACTACCCCACTTGTTCCCTGTTGTTTGTGCAGCTCGGTGTTTACCTGGGAGGGGTAGCAGGGCTGAGTGGGACCCCCACGCCAGGTCCCCTCCCAGCCACGGCAGAAGGGGAGCAGGGAGCACTCGGGTCCCAGAGGGACATGAGACCCAAGGCCACCGAACTATGCCAAAGCCACCACCGTTATGGCAAAAGTACTTTATTATATACATAAGACTCCAGCCACACTCCACAGGGCAAGGACCAGAATTCGCTATTTTACATATCAATACAAAGTAACTATAAAAACATAAAGCACTTTTGGGGCCCAGGCTTTCCACAGGAGGAGAGAGGCACAGGGACCAGCCTGGGGGCTGCTGAGTGACAGGGGGCTGCCCCACACCCTCCCCCAGCTGTGGTCCCACAGTAACCAGATGTGCAAGTAGGAAAGAACCCAGTTAGAAATATAGTGATGGGGACTGGCAAGTGGGGGCTGTCCCACTCCCCACTGCAGGCAGCGGCACACCGGGGACCGAGCCGAGCGTCACCAGGACAGGAGCGGGGTCTGTGTCCCCCAGGGAAAGTGCAGAAGGCACATGGGCCAGGCTCTTTGGAGGGGCTGTGAGAAGGTGGGATCCAACAGTTAGTGCACGTGGGGCCCCAGGAGATCACACACACACACACCGCACGCAGGGGACACGGAGGGGGGAAAAGCCTTCCACTGCCAAACTTAACTAGGGGCCTGGAGAGGGCACATCCCGTGTCTCTGGAGCAGCAGTTGCATAGCAGAAGGGGCTCAGGGCCCACTCTTGACAAGTCATTAGATTTCACTCTACATGTCCAGGAAAAAAAAACAACTTCTGTGATGGAGGGCATGCTGGGAAGCAAGGCCCTCCCAGCTCCTGGCTCCATCCGTGCTCAGGTCTCAGCATCCAGCTGGTGCTGAAGCAGATGCTCCACGAGACAGCCCTGCAGGCAGGAGATGGCCACAGGGTACAAGCTTCAGTTGTTTTAAACTGGAAGTGGAAAACATGAAAAGCTAACCAGAGCACACTCCTGCTCCCCTTCCGAAGGGCTCTGAGCCCTGCCACAGCCAGCTCTGAGGATAACTTCGGCCTCCTACCAGGAATCCCACCCCCCTTCACACAGGAGACCTCAGTGCAACTGGAGAACGTGAATCAAGGAGGGCTGCTCGGCAAGAACAGCCTTTGTAATCATCTACTAGAGGATGCCGTTGCTGCTCCTGACCCAACAGGACTATCCTGGGGCCACGGGCACAGCAAACAAAACCAGGAGCACCATGGGCCAGGGGAAGGACCTCCCCTGTGCAGCCTACAAGGCTGATGAGCCAGAGATGGACGGCTCCACTAGTACCCCCAAGACACAGAGCCCCAGTCTGCTTCAGGCATGAGCAGGACCTATGTCCCTTCCCCTCTTGCCCTGGAGGGCGGCACACTACGTCGGGGGAGCTCAGCTGGGCTGCACCTACTTGCTGCAGGAGAACTTGGCTCACTGGGGCTTTGCCATCACAGCCCACCTGAAGGTCTGAGGCAAGGAAAGGAAAACGGTGAGGAAAAAGGAGGAAGGGGAGTCACATCTTGGGATAAGTGTAAGCTTCCACCACACCACAGAAAAACTACTTCGACTAGGTTCTCCTCGGCTGCCCTAGGGGAAAGGCACTGAGCCAGCTTCGTGCGAGGACAGAGATGCTTCCGAGTGACCTAGTGCGAGGCTGGACCACCCTCCTCTCCCCCCCCCCACCTCTGGGGTAACCGAGCTCCATGGCCAACGCGATCCCCAGGGAGGACACGCGTGGCAGCTTCCAGAGTCAGAAGTGCAAGGGGGACAGTCCAGCCCCGAGGCCCAGCCCCTCCCCTGCCATTACTGTGCATTGATTGTCTAGCCAAACCGGGCTACAGTCTTCGGTTTAAAAAGGGGACCCCCGGCCTCCCTGCTCTGGAGGAGCTTCAGTCACAGAAGCGCTTGCGGGGCACCGTCCGAGCTCGGTTCGAGCGGCGAATCTCCTGCTTGGCATCGCGGCATCGCTGGCAGATGAAAACCTCAGGCACGTTGGATTTGCGGATCTTGGCACAGGAGAGGTGGATCCAGGTAGCGCATTCGTTACATTCAATCATGGGCCTCCCTGCGAAGGGCTTCAGGCAGAAGCAGGTGATCAGATCCCAGGCGTCATCATCTGGTCAGGGAGAGAGACACTGGTCAGAAACCACCTTACCAGCTGCAGGTCCAGCTGTCACCGGACTAGCCAGTTCCACTAGTGTTCAATGGGACAGCCCCCCCACTCACCTTCTGCTTTGGTGTTGGGAGCTGCCGCGAACTCAACTGCTAAAGTTACAAAAGGGGGGAGGGGGGAAGAGAAAAAAATAAAGACCAGATGAGCAAGGCAGCCCTACACCCCACTTCAGACACATTTCAGGTCTGTACTGCTCGCTCTGCAGAACAGAACTGCCAAAAGGCAGGCCAGCTCCCTGCCCTCTGCTCTTCAGTCCCCCCAGGTCCCGAAGGTACTCCCCTTTGCTGGGAGAGGCTTGGGCCATCGACAGGCCCTCCCTCCTGCAGCCAGCATGGGTGGCTCCAGCTGAGGGAGGGACAATATTTGGCACTGGCTGCAGCACAACAGGGCCCTCTGAGCTCCCTTGGGCACTCACCGCTAAGCTGGGAGCTCCCTCTGCTCGCATCTTCCCCTTCACTTTGGTCCAAAGTACTACAAGAACTGGGGCTTTTCCTCCCTCCAGGGCAGGGGTCGTGCTCCTTTAGCTGAGGATCATCTCCTGCTGGCTTCTCGGTCCCCTGCGCTCCATGCATCCAGTCCTTCTCCTTCATCAGCTCCTCCAGGAGGGAGTTGGGCTGAGGGTCCCCAGCCGGGTTGAGGGAAGGCTCCAAGAGTTGCTCTTTCACGGGAGGCAGCTGTCCCTCCAGCGCAGCCAGCTCCTTCACCCTGTCCTGCTCTGCCCCAAAGCCCTTCCCAGCGCTCAGCGGCACCCTCTTCTCCACCTCCTGCTCCAAAATGAGTTTCTTTGCTGGTGGTTTCTTCCGTTTGGTTTGCTGGGGCCGGACATCATAGAAGCCGGTGGGGAAGGCAGGGCAGCTCATGAGCAGGCTGTTGTCCGCAGCCGCCCTGGCCATGGCGTTCCTGTTCCTTCCGTCATCTGTCAGGACATGGCAGTCGGAGGAGTGGGATGAGGCCCAGCTATCGCTGTCCTGAGTGCTCCCTGTGCTGTTCTGGGGACTCATGCTGCCTCCGTGAGTCCAGGGCTCATTCTGCAAGAGAGGAAGACGCAGGACTAGCACGGGAGACCGCAGCGCAGACATTCAGGGTAAGGAGGAAGGGACTGGGGACAGAGAACGACTCTCCAGGAGAAGAATTAGGAGCTGAGTCTCTGCACACGGCAGGGAGCCCAGAAGAAGCAGTCTTTTTGTAGAGGAACACCCCGCAAGCCCACTTACCTCTTCAGGGTAGGGGATGTAGCCTGCGTAGGCCAAAACGAAGGTGCAGAACTGGTTGAAATCCTCCACGGTCCTCTGTCGTTTCTGCAACGGCTGCAACAAACGCCACGTGTCCATTAAACTCCCCGGATACCCCTACCTGAGCCGAGTACCACAACCGACCCCGGCAGGCAGCCCTGGACTGCCAGGCAATTATACAAGCACATAATATTTAGGTCACCCGAACATCCATCCTTCCCGTAACCCATCTGCATCATCTGGCTTGACAGATGCAGCCGTTCCCTTCAAAACCCAGATCACGGCACGGGGGGTGGACGGACGGGGGACGCCGGGGACAGGGACGGGACACACACCGTGACGACACGACGGGACACCCAGAAAGCACAGCAGCCGCCCGGCAGAGCGTGAGTCAGAGGCTCGGGAGCCCCGGTGCCGGGGATGTCCGCCCACAGCCGGCTGACTCAAGGCCAGAGGGAGAAGGCGCCGGGGCTGGGAGGGCACCCGGTGATTTGGGCTTCCCCCGGTCGCTCCCCCCGGTCAGCCGGAAGAGCCCGGCGCCGCTCGGGACAAGGTCCCGCCGACGGAACGCCGGGAACCCACGGCCCTGGCTGCGGGACCGCCGGGAAGGGCCGGGAGCCCGCGGCAGAGACAGCCCCGCGCCCCCCC